AAAATTAGTTTAAAAAGCAAAGACGCCTATGTACATGTACAATTGTAGGTTAACTGCAAAACTGGAACACACCGTCATTGGTAAATGAATTTCTATATATTTTAATGGATTGCTGTGTCAATAAACGTGTTATCAAACTGAATATGTTAAAGCTGATTGAGGAAATGTCTTTCAATCTAATTTGTTTTATGTATTATTTGAATTAGTTTCTAGGAGAGAGTCGAGTACACGAGTATGAAACAGCACGTGTTGATTACTACCTGTCCCACGGAGTTTGAATTTTAAAATTAAATCGACTACCTATGTCACCACTTGTTTAGTTTAAAATTCAAATGAAATGCAGTCTCCTTTACGGATGTTTAAAAATATATTTTGTGGTACATGCGGTATTCAAACCTGACGTCCCCAATGGAGAATAGCAAAAAAAAGTTAACAAACAAAAAAAAAACACTCCACGAATATTGCAATGCAGCACCGTCTGCAATGAAACACAAACATAATTATTATTTTTATAACAGTGTATAACAACTTAGAAAACATCGAAACCAGAAGCGAGAAAATGAATTTTTAATTAACCTCTCTCTCTCTCTCTTTATATTAATATTTGGAAGAGAAAAAAAAAACGACTCTGCAATCGTTTCCGGGCCATAACTTTGTACATGAAACTGAGAAACATTGTACGCTCATAAATAATCACTGATTACTTATGATTTGAGATTGTCTTGAACTAACCCAGGTTTTAGGGCAAGTTCAAGGCAATTGGGAAAAAAGGTTGAATTTGTATCCCGTCCATAATTGACTAATGAAGAAATATTACAATTAAGTTCATTTTTTACACAAAAATTATTTATGACCTGATTGTCTGTGATGATCTTAGCCCTAGATTATTTGGTGAAGCTCAAGGTAACTTAAAAAAATGTATATAAAAATACCTTTCCTGGCCATGTCTTGCAATTGAGAACTATTGAAAGCTCATACAGTACTTGTCACAAAGATTACTAGTGAGTCATGATCTTCTCCAAAGGTCATTTAAGCAAGTTTAAGGTGACTTAGGTCACTGTCAGAAATATTTTAGACTATAACTGTCTAATGCAGAAATACATGTATTATAAAATGTCTTCGAAAAAAAAATACTTAATTTTGATAGGTATTATCATAAAGAATATCATAATTATTTCAAATACTAAAGGTGTATATATATATATATATATATATATATATATATATATATATATATATATATATATATATATATATATATATATATTATCAAGCTAAAAATTCCATAGTAATACAGTTTCTCTATTGTTTATACCACGTCTAAATATCAAAGGATCAAAAGTTAATTTGAAGGTCACCACGAGTGCCAACCAAGGTGTACAGGGTATACACAAAGACTAGTAAGTAAATGTTTATCAAGTTCTAGCACCCAATGATGTACCTTACCCACTTGATTGACAGGGGTGCACAGACCAGGATTTTTTTTAAGGCGGTGCTTAAAGTCTCTGCCTTTAACACAATAATTATTTGTGTCCTGATCGAAGTTGTGTTCTGATCTTGTCCCAAGGTCATTTGGGAAGGTTCAAGGTCGCGAACAGAAAAATGCTTCATGCTACACAAAGACACAAATGTACCTATGATCTGAGGGTGTGTCGTGAACTTTTCCCGAAGTCATTTGTTCAAAATAAAGGTTACTTTCAGAATAATGTATAATTCCTGCCCGGTATATAAAATACCGGAAATTGATACGTTACACAAAGATCACCTATAAGTTATAGGCTATAACCACAAGGTGTGCCACAATCCAAGGTCATTTTGTTCAAGGTAACTTTTAGAAAAATGTATTTAATTATTCCTGTCCTAGCATGCATGTCTTGTAAATGGAGAAACTTTGGAAGCTGATCTTGACAAAAGGATTTCTTCTGAGCTGAGGTAGTGTTAGGATATTGTTTCAAGGTCATTTAAGGAAGTTCAAGATCAATGGCAGAAAAAAGTGTCTTGGGACATATATATTTATCAAACACATTTTTTCCCATGAATTTAGCATGCTCATTGTGTTTCCGCGGGTTGGTGGTGGTGGTGGGGGTGGGGGGGTTCTTATGCTACATGTATAATTAGTAAAAATTCGGACAATCGACATACGGCATTAATTTATTGTTATATATCAGGATACTTAATTGTTTCTCTTAAAGGGCCTGGGGAAGGAGGGGGGGGGGCAAAGTCAATTAATTTTTGTAAGAAATAAAAGTTTAAATCATATACAGAATGGTCTGGATGAAATAAAGCTACATTTGAGCTGAAATTGGATCAAAATGAACTACTTTTATTTTTCTCTTGTTGTGGAAATAACGTTTTCTTATTATGTAAGAAGAAAGGGAATTCATTTACACAGGTAGGGGGTGTGATTTGCTACCTAAAATCCACCACTGCAAGTCGACATATGACGACCTAAAAATAAAAATAAAGTTCACCAATAAATGATATGGCATCGTTTCTTTTGCGAATTCAAAACTTATCCACAGCAGTTTAATTTGTTGTTTTTCTTTGAATATTTCAATCATGAAAATATGTATTGTTACAAAGATATGCAGACATTGCCATGTTATTATGATAGCTAACTCTTGGATTTTTTCCCGGGAGAGGGAGGGGGGGGGGTCCACTCTACAGACTCGAAAATTTGTTGACTTAAGCACAAAAAAGTAAACAATTCGCCCAATCCTGGAAAACCTAGTCAATTCGTGTACGTGTATGTGTGTGTGGATGGAGGGTGGAGGTGGGGATGTTAGGATATGATACTTTCCTATGTCAGTTTTCTTATTTAAAAAAACAAAACAAAGCATTATTTTCGTTAATTACATATGTACCGTCTTAAGAGGGTTCCGTGTTTGCTTGGGGGGGGGGGGGGGGTCCAAGGCCATTTTAGTTAATTTAATATAGAAATTAAATAACTCTGGAAGATCCAAGGGGTCTCGGACCCCCGACCCACCTCCACAGCCTCTCCTCTAGACCCGCCCCTGAACTCTCTTTGAGGATTAAGGCAGAAAACGAGAAAAGTTAATATAGGTCGACGACCGATAAAACATAACAAGCAAATGGATCGATGGTGACCCAAATAACGATACCGAAAGACAGGCAAGATACATATATGCATAAGTCAACATGGTCACATATTTGACAAGTGCAAAATTAAAATACAAAGAACTTGTATATGTTGAATCCAGGTCAGTTCCCTTTCGGACGTGCCCATTAACGTATTACCTCAGTCAGATGTTAAACCGCAAGTTATATTTCCAAATTAGCTAGGTCATCTCACCTTTTCATCTCAATGATTTCATACTATTTAAAAAATAGAACAATACACATTTGTTTGAAATTGAAATGGTCGCGATATTTTTGCATACATATTATAAAAGCGGTATAATAAAAGACAGACGGCAAATGATCGAATAACATCGATACTCTGGTATTGGAGATTTCTGGGATAAATGTCTAATATTCTTTTCATAATGTTATTAGGTTTCTGTCAAATATTGACCAGCAAGGTATACTGATATTGTGTGCATTTTTATAATATATTAGAATGCTTTTGTCTTTAATTAAGAAAATTATACATAAAGCATTTAAACTTAATTGTCTAATAAATAATAAATTATTTAAATATTTTTTCTTAAACTAAACAGTAGGAAAAAATGAGCATTTTATGATCTTTATAAATATGCTTTATAAAAGTTAAAACAACCACCTCTGAAACACAATTTACATGGAATATCTTTGCTTGTAATTCCTTTTGATACATGTAGTATCTTCATATCTGCCAGCATGTCAGGTTTTTCGAACTTAAATTCAAAAATTCATGAACCGAAACTAGGAGAACAAAACATGTTAATCTGGATTTTAGAATTTCATTTGAAAGTCAATTATTGTTAAATTTAATATTTTAACTTGCTACATTTACCCTAAATATTGATAACATACTCAATCTGAATCGACAACATACTGAAAAATTTGATTTAGACACATTTATATATATTTACTTATATTATCTGACTTGCAAATTGCGCGTGTTTCAAATTGTAAATATACTGTGCTAAAAATGATGCATACATGTATGTTACAAAGACACTACACAGCTGTGGAATGTTTGCCCCCTTTGTTGTATTTATACCGAGTAATAAATTTTTAAACCCATCACTATGTTTTTTTTTTTTTTTTTCGGGAATATTAAGATAAAAAATGATTTGATACTTGCAAATATTCGCTAATAGGAAAAAAGCGGGTGGGTAGGTATAAAATTGTTGAGATCCTATTTCGAGAAAAGGGATGGCAACAATATTACACCCATGTTACCACGACTCTCTATGATAGGTATCTATACATACACGTGTTTCTTTCTTTTTTTCTGTTTCAATTTTCCCACAATCATGGCAATTTTTATTTGCAGTTAAGTCAGAGGAACAGAATATGACATTAATATTGTTGACATATACTTTTGTAATGAAATTTTATATATTTCAAATATATACATACTTTCGAAGCCTGGCTATGAAGGGGGAAAAGACAATCTAGAGAACCTACGGGGTGGGGTACGTAGGGGTGGGGGACTTATCATATATGCACATGGAAGCGCAGCACCTTTTCATTTTTTAAAACATTTATTAATTGGGATTTGTAACATTTTTGTCAATTCTAATAACAACTATTCAAAAAGTGATCCATTTCTTATACATATTGATATGTTTTATAACTGGCAATTACTTCAGAAATCATTTTTGGAATGTTTAGAGTAACTTAATACCAAACTCAATATTATATGAATGTTTGAAATAATTAGATGTCCAATGAAATGGGAATTAAAATTGGTATCTAGTTAAAAACGATATTGAATCGGCACCGTGTATTTTTTACCCCCCCCCCCCACCTTACATGTCTATCGAGAACCAATTTTGATATGGTCCCTCTGTTAACGTCACAATAAACCGGAAGAATATTATACACGGAAGTAGTATGGCTGACAAGAGAGAAGGGGAGAGAGAACTGTTTGTTGACGATAATGTCAATTTAGTATGAAATCAAATCAAAAACAATGTAGATATTTGTTTGTTTGTTTAAATGGATATAACTACTAGTATTTCAACAAAGATTCACAACAAGGTTGTCTGGAAAATGACATTAAAGGACAAGGTTATTAAGAGTAATTACCATATAAAAATATAATGTGCACCGAAGAAACACGGATGTGAGGTGTACAGGATGGAATTGTCAAAGCTGTTTGGTAATTTTCATTTATTTTGTAAATTGTTTTTGTAAGGAAATGTGTTAAGTTGTTTTTTTTTCTTTGTTGTTTGAGGTCAGAATGTATGATATTAGTATATGAGTGATTGATCAGCTGATTACACTTGCAGCTTATGACATATGAAATATAAAAAATACACGACCGAACATTACATATCTTAATAAGCTTAACCTCAGAATTTTTCCTAAATTTTCAAAAGGTCCGCATCTTATTAAGCTTAACCTCAGAATTTTTCCTAAATTTTCAAAAGATCCAGTGGATGATTGTTTTGGTATTTCAACATTCTAGGTATTGCCATTATCACCCATTAATATTAAATGATTCAGAATTATTTTTTTTAATGCCATGTGTTAAGAAGTGGTGTCTTCCATCAATGTAACTTACCGACTAATAATACAATAATTTATGTACTTTTACCAGGGACCTATATACGGGATAGGCAAGTCTCGCGATACCTCATAAGTTGCGTGATTTCGTAAGTCAATTTTAATTAAATATATCTCTTTTGCTATCAAATATTTCAGAATAAAATCTTAATTTATCTATCAAAAAATTATTCAAGATTTGTTATAAGCACCGTTTTTACTCCTTATCTTAGAAGTAATTACGTTTATTTAAAAATCAGTGCGTGCCCCTGATCGGCTGTATTTCTGAGAAATCGCCGATTTTGGTGGTTGTTTACTTAATATCTCAATTATTTTATAATATGTGCTTTAAAATTTATTAAATATCCATTCCGATACACAAAAAGAACAGATTACATTAATCAGAAAACAAGCTTTTTACGGGGGAAAAAAGTAGTTTGAGAAACTTGCAGTGTTGTATGTGCTGTTTTGGGTAAATAAACATGGCGCTGAAGGAGTTGCCTATCCCGTTAGTATATAGGTCCCTGCTTTTACCCACTTTCTATGAATAATTTATCTTTCATTGTAATGAAGTTAAAGATATGCACATGTAATGGGAGAGGAGAAAACTGCAATGGAACTGACCAGAATTTGAACCCAGGTCCTCTTAATCTCCAGTCAAGTGCTCTACCAACTGAGATACTAGTATTTGGCCACAGGCAATTGAACCTGTTTAACCACCACATTCGTCTCTCCTTAAAGGTCTTTGCCCCCAAAGACACCATCCCAGGCTCTTCCCTGGCAGGTCTTTCATCTGTCACTTCCAGAGCATGGCATGGCACCAATGTAATGGGGGAGGAGAAAACTGAGATGGACCAGACTGAGATTCTATCAGGGCCCCCTGAATCTCCAAGTGCTCTACCAACTGAGCTATTAATTTGTCCACTGGTGGTCGAACCCATCTTACTGACACACACATCATATTGTCTCTATTTATTCATTGTTTGTCTCAAATCTGTCAATTTGTTATGGATGTCCCCTGTCATGGAGGGGGACTGCTGAGGTCAGCTGTTCAGTTGGCTATGTAGGGCTCTAGCCCATCATTATACACTAACATCCATCTAATATGATAAATTTAAACTTTATACAAATTGAATGTCCCATGTGAGACATGTGCTAGCCACTTGTTATAGTTGTTATCATCACATTATAGAGATACAGACACTAAAAGAGTTTTGGGTGTTAGAATTTGGGAAAAAAAATGTTGAATTCTTTCCCTTTCAACTTTCTTGGCAGTACTTGCTCAGATTGTGTTTAAGTAGTTCACTCATAATTGTTAGTTATTAAGTATGGTTTTGAATTTTCATGCACAGTTTCTACATTTTCTATGTGTCCTTGTGTGAGCAGCTGGTGAGATTAGATAAAAGTTCAGAAAGAAAGATGATTATCTGATATTTGTGTTTATATGCAGAATTTGATCCACTTATTTTATAGGTAATGAAAGAAAGGAAGGGAAAGTAGTTTCATATTTCCACTGAAATTTTTAAAAGGATAAAACTCTGATAAATTTAAAAGCCTGTATTTATATTATTATTATATGGTATAGATATTTGATATTTTGAAGAAGATTTATCTTTATCTGTGATTTAGGGACACATTTTTTATACATGTATTTATTGAGGTGTTTCTTGATTTACATGGATGATGCTCAACTTTAAGCTGACTAAACTATTTCAGTTGTTCTTTTTCTCCAAAGAACAAACAAAATATCATTAAATTCAAATGTTGAAATTTCTAAAATACTAGATGATGTAAAAACTAATTGTAGCTTTATAAAATGACCCCTATTTGAAAGAACCAAGTCAAATGGGCTTTTTTTAATGTTTGCTGCTTATTTTTGTGAAATAGGTAACAAAAGTATTTTGTCATTTCAGGATTTTGTGTGTTGTCTTTTTCCATCCTGACATCATCCCAAGCAGAGGGTGAGTTACAGAGTAGAACGCTGAAATATCTATTTATTGCTTATCAAAGAAGATATTAAGTTTTATGATTTTGTTAAACAAACAACCTCTGAAAATTATGTACATTCAAATGTTTCTTGTCCATCATGTCCATGCTACTAATACACAAACATGCAGTAGTAACGGTAACATTACTCTACATCACTTCAAAAATTTTTCTGTCGGATCTTAGAACTCACAATCACGAAGTATTTAGATGGGTTCAAATTCGTTTTATTGATATGCCTATTGTTGCATATGGGTTTCTCATTCAACCTATATGACTGTACTTTTATCATGTATGTAGAATTCAATTGCAAATGCAATTTTTGATTTTGTATCAAATGCTTTCATGGGATGGCTAAGTGGCTTATCATTTCAAGGAGGTACATGTTCATGTTCAATGATGTATACAATTTAATCTCAGAATGCAAATGATTTAAAAAAGGAAGAAACAAATTTGAGTAATCACAAATGTCCTTTAAATGTTTATTGTGTGTAATAAGGAAGAATATTCCTTTGTATTTGAGAAGTGCACATTTCTTTTATTTAAAAATGTATATTGACATTTGTATACATAACAAGTCTGTCCTTATAGACATACATATATGTATAATTTGAACATTAAAAATGTTTTTAAAAGGTATGCCCCATTTTTGATACCCATTGTATGAAATACAAGAATGCATTAATTTATCAAACGACATGCTTATTCATCACATTTTTGCTTTGTCAATACAATAAGTTTAAGGATTAAAAAAAAAATGCTTAATCACTTAGTACTTGAACCCCCATTATATTTAAATTACCTCTATAAAATAAATAAATATATTCATTAAACATGTTGAAGTAAGTGCTACCATATTTTCTTTTATCAACGATTAGCAAAATCAAACTACAATACAGAATAAGACAGAGTTAAATACTGCACAGTTTATGTGGACAGTATGAGTTTTCTCAATAAAATGTGTCCTGTTTATACTTCTCAGACAGGAAAAAATTACCAATAGATAATGAATAATACATGATATAGAAGTTGTAAAACAAATATGACCATATATTTATAATCTTCAAAAAAAAAGGAGAGGAGTATTGCAAAGGGGTATTATTTTGAGACACACAGTGACATTTTTTTCATTTTTGTTCATTTATTAAAAAGATTAATTTGTGATCAATATATACATTGACAGAATGTTTTCATGATGAATACAAAGAAGAAACAGAAAGAATTACATCCCAAAATTTTCCTGTTGGCTATCCTCCTAACTGGTGTGCACAATGGTACATCACTGCTAGGAAAGGGGAGATAATTACCTTAAGGTAGGTTTATATAGTCAGATTGAGCAGTTGAGTGGATTAAGTTGTTGATTCAGCCTCCAGAGACTCAAAGACAAAGACACTCTGCATGGAAAAAACTTATAAGTGTATATACTGACAGCATGGCTCTATATTCAGATTTGTGCAACTTTCAGTTTTACGGAAAAAAAGCATCAGCTCCAAAAATTACAGAACAGAGTAGCACAAGGAAACCATCTTAGAAATAATGTAGGTCACCAAATTTGTGTGACGCTATTTTTGCAAGACAGGTGTTTGGTATTTATTAGGAAGACAAAATTTTCATGAATTCTGGATACCGTTTTACACATTAATCTAACTTAATACTCATGAAAATATACGTGAGAATGAATTTTTGCAAGCAGACTGTCTTGCAAAATTACACAAAAAATAAAGTTCTAGAGAATAAAAATTACATGATTTACTGTATGATTATAAGCTTATATACAACTCTTGAGGAAGAATTTACTGGCCGAGTCTCTAAAATACTGGTTAATTGCTATGCATGATTATAAAATATATATTCAAAATGTTCTGAAAACGTAAACATATTGCATATGTAGACTTTTGAAGAACAAAGTTTTTAAATGAAGATTTTGCATACTGTAAACATACTTCTTTCATATTTGAGCACCTCTCATCTGCTTCTTGTCCTCTAATTTAAGTACACACACTAACATATGATTAATATAAATATTAAATAATGCATATAGAAGCTGGTTCTGAATAGGCTAATTTTTATTACGCTAATAAATTTTGAGGAAGATAGTGCTAAAGAGCAAGAGCCACTTAGGGCCTTTTTTGGCCCTGAGAATTTCTGAAAAATCAAAACTGCTCAGTTTTGGTTGAAAATGCAGTATTTATCACTTGGACCCTTGGTGACCATGTATCTATTGAACATGACGTAATTTTCTCTCTAGTCATTGCATTATGACGTCATAAAATGTGTCATTTTCCCCATATCCTGTAAATTCCTTTAAAAATGGCCCAAAATTGAAGTATTTTTTCGATATTTCATATAGAGCACAATCTCTGATCCAAAATATGCAATTACATAAAGAAAGATCTGTTTCTGAAGATCATAAAACATGTTTTAATTTTTGGATCGTGGGCTGTGCTCATATTTTAATTCTTTGCTGAAGATAGTCAAATACACATGTTTTCTGCAAAATTCAAGAACATTGCATTTTCTCAAAGCCTGTTATCCAATACCTGGATCCTCAAAAGGAAATTTTGTTATAGGAAATGAAAGAACAAAGTCTCTACTTTATTTTGATATATGATGTGGGACAAAGGGTGATAGTCAATTAATTGATATAAGGACAGGGCCATTTTAAGCATAAAGTGAACTTAGCTCTTTTGAGTGTGTTGATTTATGTATCTTTTCAGTATCTAGTATGATCACTTAAATTACAGTAATATTATTTATTACAAGAGAGGAATATAAAGGTTTGAGCCATTCTAAATTCATTCTCGATTTTTAATTGTTACAGCATATACTTAGACATAGAGGTGGGAGACGATTCAACATGTAACAGAGACTCCTTAACCATCGGACCAGATCCACTACAACAGTACTGTGGAAAAAACAGAAAATTAGTGTACATTTCAAACATGTCTCATGTTTGGTTAAAGTTTAACAGTGATAGTATAATGTCTGGAAAAGGATTTCAAATAAACTATATAAGAGGTATGTAACATATACCTGTATATAAGTCTTAGACCTATGTTTGCATTTGCAAATGTTTTCTCTTACATCACACTATTTGATCCATGTGTATCAATCTCTTCATAAATACAGGTTCATCACAAATTTATTGTAATATGTCACAAATGGTTAATGTAATTTCTCAGTGACGTCATGAAGTCGAATGTGCATTCAACAGATTCAAGTTATACCATTGGTTTTTGAAAAACTTCATTTCATGGGTTAGAGATTATAACCACACAAATATTATTATGATACAGTTTCAAATGTAAACACATTAAAGTATAAAAAAAGGTATCGCTTTTAAATTTCTGTTGGACAGGGATAAACCATTCTGTTGGGCTTTATGGTACATGTATTTGATCATGTGACCAACCTGTATTGAAATTCTTGAAGAAGTTTTAAAATAATACATGTAATTTTTTTTTAATGCCATTTCTTAGATGAATACTATAGAATTTAAAACAACTGGGGAAAAAATTACAATAGTTAAAATTTTCCTCAACCAACTTTCTGAAACAATCATATATCTTATCTTATATAAACTATCTTATATCTTGTTCATATTGTACTTCCAGTTGATGGATATTTACTATTTTATTGAAAGTGTTATGCATATGCTATTTAAAAGTTCTTTTGTTTTACAGGTCTCCCTCAAGCAAAATTCTGTAAGCAAGATCAGTTCCATTGTAAGAATGGAAAATGTATACTAGATAACTGGGTGTGTAATGGCCTGGATGAATGTGGTGACAGAAGTGATGAATATGATGAATTATGTCACTCAGGTAAGCTGGGAAGCAGGATGTGTTCCTTAAATTGGAATGGGGATTGTATTCTAGAACTTGGAGGGGGGATTGTATTCCTGATAAGAAAGAGAAGATAAACTTCTGTCTGCTTAAATAAATATGAATGTTGTGGTTTCTTTAATGTGCAAGTCCCAAAGTGAACAATTGAAAAAAAATTATATAATTGTATTATACATATGAATTTTTCTCCTCCCAGAAGGTGTAAGCCCAAAAGAAAAGTTTTTATAAAAATATTTCAAGTTGAAAAATGAAATGCATTTTATGAAAACAGCTGTGAGGTAATGTTTCTTTCTTTTTTTTTAATTTTCAGCCACTGCAATGCCTACAGCACCCCCCTCAATTGATTGTGGAGAAGAATTTTTTCCATGTTATTCAAATTTGAGTGAAGGTTTAATTTGCCTACCAAAAGCTAAGAAGTGTGATGGTGCTCCAGATTGCTATGGAGGGCTAGATGAAAAGAACTGTAGTAAGTTTCCCTTAGAGCATTGTTTATACTAACTGTATAATAAAAAGAAATGTAAGTGCTCAGTTGGTGTTGTGATTTTATAATTCTTATCTCTTAATTGTTAATACATGTACATGTAGTACAGTGCTATATGCAGGGGGACGTTCAAAATCAATTATTTAATCAAATAATTATAGAAAGATAACAATTTTTACTTGTTTTGCAGGTATAAACTGTAATAAACACATTCACAGTGAGGTTGGATATATCACATCACCCCTGTACCCTAGAGACTACCCTCCTCACATGGACTGTAAATGGACGATTCACATGCAGAATCCCACAGATCGGATTCAGTTGAGGCTTCTTGATTTTGCTGTTCAACCTAACGACAATACAGATTACGTCACAGTGTATGATGGAAAGGACGAAGCAAATGATCAAGTTTTGGGCACATTTTATGGGGATGTAGTTCCGCCTTCCAAATTAGAATCTACCTCAAACTGGATGACTATTGTTTTCCATTCAGATAACAGCTTTTCTGAGAAAGGCTTTAATTTTTCTTATCAAAAAAAGGGTGAGAAAAGATACATTACTTCCATATATATTTGAAAATTCAATAAAGTATATGTGTGTTGAAGTAATATGTTTTTGTTCCATAAACACAAATATTTTTTTTTTCCTTTGTACAACAAATATGTATTTTTGTCTTTTCTAAATAGGATTTTGCCTTAAAAATCAAATTCGATGTAGCAATGGTGAAGATGACTGCTTTGATGCAAATGAGAAGTGCAATGGCATTTGGGATTGCAAGGAGAAGGGTGGAGATGAACTTCATTGTGGTGAGGCATAATTTTTAGTTATTTAACAATTTTCATGCAATCATTTTATCGCCTAATAGAATTTAGTTACTGTATGCCCATCTGGCTATATGTAATCTAATGTAAGGGGGGGGGGGGGGCTACTCATCTGAGCTGAAGGCTAAGGTGATCTCCTTTGATCATTTTTTTTTTGACATTCACCTGTCTGTTCATTCAGAATCACTGGATCAGTTCCTTCCAACCAAACTTACCACAAAGTAACTTAGTATAGACTTGTTAAAATAATGGACTTTGTGCCCTTATAAGGGGAGATGATTAAACTTAGCCACTACAAGTCATTTTGAATTTGCTTTAAAGTCTTATGGTATTGTGTAAAACTTACAAGGTCATCAGAAGGGAAGATGCATTGCTCTCCCTTTAAAAGAAAAAAGAAAAAATACCACTTTTTGAAAAAAAAATTAAATTCATTATTTATTTGTTCAAAGTAATGCTGGTAGATATTGGTTGTTTTATTTTTAAATATTTGTAAAAATGACTTCCAGAACAAGACTGAATCAAAATGATGTACATTTATTTTTTAAAAATGGCTAAGGGGAATCCCTTTCAGACCCCTTCTTCCACCCCTCCTAGTAATTAACTTATGGCTAGGGCATTATGTTAAGAATCACTAGGATTCTGCAATATATATTTACTTATTTTCACTGAGTTGGGAATGTTAATAACAGAGTTAGGGTTGTTATTTTTAAACTAATACTTTGATGCACTGTTTCTGAAATGTTTATGTTGCCATGTATTGCACATTAAAAAGTATAATATGATATATACAATTTTGAAACTCTCCCTAAACAGGAAACTGTAATGTGCTGTATAGCTGTGGTTCCGGCAGTTCTCAGTGTTACCCAAAAAGTCATCGCTGTAACGGAGTGGGATTCTGTACCAACAAAATGGATGAAAAGAATTGCTGTAAGTAGATATTTTAGAATTTTATTTTTTTAGACCTGTTCAATTTATGCACATAACTACATGCATCAGAGGTTTACATGTATGTCCTGTTGTCTGATGGGATTCTTCATACAGAGACACCAATTTCTACTTCTGTATTTATCAAACTTGAAAAGTTATTTTTACTTTGAAATAGTAGCGATATTTACTTATTATTATCAGATGTTCATTTTATGTAAAATATGTAAATTAACAGAGTAATTAATAAAACCCATAGCATTTATATTTAATCATGTCCAGATTAACCCAATAGTTTTTTAATTAAATTACTCATACCTACAGCTCCACAACAGTGTGGTTCACATAATGGAACATTCTTGTGTCAGAACAAGAACTGTATTTATGAGGCTTGGATCTGTGATAAAACAGATGATTGTGGAGATCAAAGTGATGAAATCAACTGTGGCAGTAAGTAGAAATTCATCTGTAAATACAAAAGATACGATTCTATAGATACTTAAGTCATTTTCCAGTCATATTACTTTGGTATATAAGGCTCATTGATAGTTCAATTTTAAACATCAATGGAAAGCTATAAATACACATATACTGTTTGATTTCAGAGACGACCAATTTAATCATCATTGCAGCTGTCTCTGGATCTCTTATCTGTGGGTTGCTTTTGGTGGTTGCACTAGGTTGCACTTGTAAGTTGTATAATTTAAGACAGCAGCAACTTCATGGTCCTCGACATGAAACTCCTCTGTCTCGAGTGTATGCAGAATTCATGAGGAGAAGGGCTCCTCCACCATACCATGAGGCCATGTTGACCTCATGACCTTATGAGGAGGCTAGAAGAGAGTACATGGAAAGGATTAATCAGTCAGAACAAGGGTCAAGGTCATCTGATCGAAGGTCAAGGCGTCAGAGGAGGAGAAATGGACGCAGAGGTAATCCTCCTAATCTCAACACAGAAACAAGTACTAATCCTACACAAAACATAAATGAAGAGAACATAGGTGAAAGTGGTGCTAATATATCTGACACAGTGAGTACTGTAGCTGGAGAACAAACAGTGAACAGTACACATTCTAACATCGGAAGGCATTCCTCCAGAACTGCTCTCATTACTAGTGACAGTTCTTCAGATTCAGAAAGTGAACTGGGATCACCCACTGCTGACTCAGTCAGAGTTCATTTTTCAGAGGACACTGGGATATCAGCTCAATTCCATAGAAGGAGCTCTCCTGGAAAGGAGGTAGAAGAAGGTCAAAGTTCATCAAGTATTCCAATAAACAGTCCCACTACTGGTCCTGACATCAGTAGTCTAGATAACACCACCATAGCTTCCTGTGATAGTGTCGAACCTCCTCAAGAGGAGGATAAAAATAAACCAAGGGACATAAGCAGTGCTCTTACTCCCCTAGAAAACCCTCCATCCAATTCCACATGTGCTTTATTTATTCCAGAAAATGGTCAAAACCAGGGAAGTGTGGATAGAGGCAGACATAATTCTGCAGGCTCATTGGATTCTACTGGATCCGAAAATCCCTGGGGGGATTTCACTAATTCTGAATCTGTTTGATGCATATCAAATTTTCAAACCTTAGTTAGCGCTTGATCTATCAAATTATAAGTAAAATGTTATTAAAATATTACATGCACCTATATTTTATAACATGGTTGTCTTTTTTTTTTTATATAGATATGCACTATTAATATGTATTAAAGAGTCTCATTCTAATAAAATCAATTTTTACATTTTTAATCAATTGTTTTGTAAACTGTAATTTTTCAGGTTTTAAGTGTGCAAGAAATACATGCATTGGTAAGGTTGTTGCAAGTTAATGCAGTTAGAACTATTCACTTATATACATGTATGATGTTAATTTAAGATTGATTGATCATAATACATGTATGTAAATTTTGAAAAATTTTTGAAATTTGGTGATAAAAATTTTGTTTTCTTTCTGATTTTAGAGTTAAAATTGATTAGATATTGCAAAAAGTCTGTATCAGTTATTTATTACAATCAATAACATTGTAATACGATTTATAATAATATATGATGCATAATTTTTACGCATTTCTTGTTACTGTGAGGTTATTGACTGGCATTTTACATGTTGTTTTATATAATAGATATGTATCTAACAGCTTTCAATTGTAGGCATTTCATGAAGTGAAAAAGTTGGGAAGAAATGCATATCAGTTATAAACAGAGTTAAAAATTGCATACATGCCTGTGAAACCATTAATTACTAATTTTACAGGTTTCAGTATTTGTAAATAAATTTATTCATTCCAAAATTTTGGAATGAAATTGTTATTCCTATGGAAGTTTTTTTTTTTCAAAAGATTTTATGCTTGAATTGCAGTGTGAGAAATTGAAAGCAGGTGATATGTAAACATGTATGTGGTCTTTTAGTATTATCTTATTTTTAAAAAGGTAACAGTTCAGATTTTGTGTGCAAGGCTACCTTCCTATATCTTTCAGCGTTGTATAAATGGTAAAAATAAATATTTTTGATAACACGACAAACCAATGCATAAATATGATTGACTGATTGTTTTTGTTTAAGACGGATCCAGCAATATTTCAGACATATTTTGGCAGACCTAAATTTGAAAACACAGTGGCAAAGATTAGAGTTAAAGGAAATTTTGAGTATCTGGTCTTGCATGTCAAGGACAGCTTCGTTTGTGTTTATTATAAATTTAAATTTAATAGCCAAAACTTAAAATGCCTAACATTTTGTAACTTTATTCCTAAACTAAACTATTGTGAGGTCAGCAATCACTCATGTATATACATGTACATGTTTTTGCTAACAAAAATTTTATTAATTATTATCATGTGTTAACTTTGATACATTCATGTAATAAATTGCCTTTTTATTGCAAAAGTAATCCAAGTTGCTTGCTAATCATATTATTATAAAAGCTAAACATGGAGTAACTATAATGTTTCTACTAAAAATGTAAAACTAAAAAAAATGTTTTGAGCCTTTACATCAAGTAAAACTGAAAAATGCTATAAATGCATGTATATGAATATGCATCTGTTGCCAGTTAAGATATAAATATATTCATATGCAATTTTTAAAAAATATACTATGTAGCATGAGAACTGCTTGTTTCGAATTCTCTTTTATCAACTTTGTGTATGATTTTCACAAGTTTCTATATCTTCCAAGTAATTTAGGTATGATACTGCAATCATAAAATTAAGTTCTTTAGTGAAACCTTTGTTGCTTTTTTTACCCACAATGAAATTGTAAGTACATGTACCACTAAATATTCGGAGGATAGTATTCATTAATAACAGATCTGAAGTAAAAATATAAATTATGATTAAAGCTGCTGCAATTTATATACTTTGAAAATATGTGTACCTTATTTTGATGTGTTGATGTGAGAGCGTGTTTCATATGTTGTTTGTTTATTTTCATAAGATTCTAGAATTATGATTAATAATGGACTTATTTGATTCCAAATTAATAATATACTAGAATTTAAAAGTTGTTGTCCGGTACATTTTAGATGTATTGCTTTGCTTTGATATCAGCTGCAGAAATATATATATTACTATTTTGTTTACATTTAAAGCATTTTACACAGATTTACTCCAGATATTTTTTTTAAAACTGAACACGACTCTTAAAAGCAGGAGAGTTATCTTGTCCACCATATTAGTTTTCTCAAGACTGTTGTTTTCCAACCACTATACATGTATAAGCCTCAGCTTTGTTCAGGGTTCAATATATTTTGCTTCACAGATTCTACCTGAGCAAACGTCTCCATCATCATCATTGTGATATACTTGGGTGCAACAATAGATATCATCTGCACAGGTCAATGCAGTGCAACGTGAAGTAGACACAAATGCACCTTCAATGAAAAAAAAGCTACACAAATAGGACAATGTGAGATATACACTTACTACACACCGCAGCGACCAACTTAAAGCAGTCAGATGTAATGAATGCAAAGGGTTTATATTCCCCAGTGCTGATATAGGAGATAGGAAATCTAATATGGCATATGCTTATTTACGAGTTGAGTTCAACTTTAACTTCAGTTTTGCTTCAAATTTTTTTTTGAGTGATGAATAAGAAACTTATATAGTATGTTTTGTTTTACTACATGGTGCATTGCATTTGTGCAATGTCAGGTCATGTTTTGCTTAAAAACTTTTCTGTGTCTGCATAAAAGGGGGGGGGGGGGGACTGTTAAACCTTTTTCCAGTTTGACCAGTTACAGAGTTTGCCAGAGTTAACATGTTACCCATAGCTGAAATGTGAATCTATATAAAAAAAAGGATTATTGTTGCTAAAAAAAGCAGTTCTTGCTGAAATAAGAATGGAAATGACTCAGAAAATAAATACCCGGTACCTTTTAAAAATATTGCAGTGCCATTGCATCCAAAGTGGAAAAAAATTAAGTCAGTTCAATTATGAGTTCATTATAAGTTAATGTATAACTTTATATATAAATTCCTTTTCATATGAGAACCTTCAAAATGATATTTTAAAAAAATATTTTTAAAAAATATGCTTTATGCATTTCTTTGAAATAAGGAAAACTTGTTTGAAGTAAAGATTTTTTTTTATCTGGATGCAAGACTTATGTTATTTTAATTTTTTCCAAGCAGACTTGAAATTGGTAATTTAAATTTATCACTCTTTATGATTTTCCTTGAGAATGTCTACATTTTGCATATATCTCTATCAAGTTTTGTTTTATTGTCATTGTTAGCTCTTCTATCTTGTTTACATCTGTTTCAGATAAAGAGGAACCAATGTAAACATACTTATTTTGAGTGTTGATATGAATAAATTAGAATGTTAAAACAACTTACTTCCTTGTCAGAGTGCTTATGTCTTTTTCATCTCACATTACATTACATTGTACAAAGCTCATTTGATCCAAGTAAAGTTTCATATACAGTTGTAAACTTATCTGATCAGGAAGTGTTCAGCATTCAGTCTGAGTCACATCTGTTGTAAAATGTTTGGATCTGTAAACTTTTTTTCTACATCTATATTAAGAACCTACTGGCTAATTTCAACCAATTTGATATGACACATTATCTTATAAATAGAATTCAAATGAGGATGTAATCGTATTTTCAAGGGGAGATAATTTTGAAAAAACAAAGCTTATGATGGGGGTAGGGATGGGTATCACCAAAAATTTGTATTCCAGTATATCACAATTTTTTTCATAAATATCATGATAAATTTTACTGTGATTTTAAATGAATTTCCTTAATTTTTCTAACAAAATTTTAAAAGATGATTTTTAATTAAACATCTTTTCCTACAAATTGTAAAATTCTTGGCCCCAGGGTTAGAGGAAAACCATTATGGAGATAGGACAGGGCTCAGTTGATCATATATTAAACACGAAGTGTCTGGTTATTGTGAGCAAGTGAATTAGAGAACTCATTACCCTTTATTACTCACATATGATAATTAATTGCCGTAAATAATTTAGATAAAAAGATAGGTATTTTGAATAAAAAATTATAAAAGATGTATATTAAAAAATACTTCTATTGTAAGTTTTATGGTCAGGTAGACTTTAAAATAATTTTTATATATAAATGTCTGGTATTGAGACAAAAAGATCTGATATTTTTGTGCATAATATAATCATTCGAAGATCAAGAGAGGTCAGTGGTATGAGGATCCTGCTAGGCTAACAATGTGAATCACAATTTCTTACCCCCTTTTTGTAGAGTTCAAATTAATACATTTTTAACATATTTAAAAAAAAAATAGAACTTTCTAGAAAACTTCCATGGAGTATCCAGTAACACGTACCTATTTAATAACATGATGTGCCCAAAGCAGTTTCAAAGGAGTTCAAGGGATTACTGAGTGCCTTTTCACAGAAGGGCCCTGAAAAGAAATCTCTGGCAAACCAAAAATTGCTCAACGCGACATGATTCGCATTATTTTGCTTTTGTGGACCCATCCTACCCCAGGGGACAATTGAATATACACTATTTCAGCACATGTTTAATTTTTTCTAACACACTGGTTCTTATGAAGATTTTTAAATGACCCCACAAAACTTTTACTATTTCTTAATTAACACCTCTTCCCCTTTTTGCAAGAGGACGTGGTCCTTCATTTTAACAATCTGACTCTCCAAATTGCAAGGATACTTCGTGTCGAAAATGTTAAAAGTCTACAAATGGATAGACGGACACCAGACACGGTCTTATAACAAAAGAAGAGAAAAGTAGCACTTGGAGTTAAAACTTTGCAACAGCAACAAATAAAATAATGATCTTTGGTTTAGTCTTTTTTGAGGTAAGATTATTGCAATCAGACTAAAACTGTAGGAGGAGAAGCCTTTTGAAAGAATGTTACAGATTTTTTTTTTATTTTTAGTAACCATGGCGACATTGTTCAAAATAAATAAAAACAGTATAGACAATAATATTATGTATCTCAGTGTAGTCTAGTTGTGTGCCAAGTTATATTAGAATCAGACCAAAATTGTTGGAGTAGTAGGGTTTTGAAATTTCTATTTTAATAACCATGGCACCACGTATCATTCAAGGAAATCAAAAACCAACAAACAGAATTATGTATCTTAGTGTAGTCTACTGGTGTGCCAAGTTATATTGAAATCAGATCAAAACTCTAGGTGGAGTACCATTTTGAAAGTATTTCACGGAATTTTCTGTTTTTAATAACCATGGCACCACCTTCATCAAAATCTTAAAAACAATAAACAAATTTTGTATCTTAGTGTAGTCTACTTATGTTCCAATTAATACGAAATCAATACAAAACTATAGGAGGAGTAGCATTTTGAAAATATTTCATAGAAAATTCTATTTTCAGTAACCATGACATCATCGCGGTCGGTCTTTGAAATCAAAAACCGATATATAGAATTATATATCTTAGTGTGATCTACTTGTGTGACAAAATATATTGAAATCAGACCAAAACTGTAGCAGGAGTAGCTTTTTGAAAGTATTTCACAGGAATTTCTTTTTTTAGTAACCATAGCAACACACCATTCATCGAAATCAAAACCCGATATACAAGATTATGTATCTTAATATAAGCATAATCTACTTGTGTGTCAGGAGTTTGAAATCAGACCAAAACTGTGGGAGGCGTAGCATTTTGAAAACTTGTTTACAGACGGACACCTTACTATCGCATAAGCTCTTCTGATTTCTGATCAGTAAAGCTAAACTCCTTATTCTATGGTATTTTAAATAAAGTTATCAGTGTAACTAAAATCTAAATGATGATAGGTAAAAATGAGAATCCCTGTACTTTTATCAGTCGATGATAAATTTCCAAGGTCGACCGGTCTAAAATTAGAGGAAACTATTTTGGAAACAAGACCTCTCCCATATATATAACTTATCTGAGGATCCATTTCCAGAATATTAAACCAATCCTGCTTTTCGATGTTTAGCTCCAATATTTCACCTCTAAAATCCTGTTGTATAACTCTAAGCACAATATAGAATCTTAGTAGTGTCTCCCCGATCTGGAAATGGATTCTTTGAAATTACAGGACATACATTAGCATACGTAATTTCATTGAAGACATTTTCCTGACCTTTCAATATCAAAATATGAACTTTCTTTGAGCGATTAGCATTTTTCTAGCAGTTATCAGAACTTTTCAAATGCCTTTAATAGGAAAGGACCATGTTTTGAAATTCGGATTTAAGAGTAGTTCAAAGAAACATATATATAGATATGTGATATGAATATATCATTAAATTCATTTATCTTAAAATTTAATTCATTTAGTATATTTACGGGACCTAAACTTAATGCTATAAATGTTTAATATATTCATGTGAATTTCGGAGAAAAACACAGTTGAATTTATACAAACCATGTCTTTTTTATTGTCCACGAAAAATATCCCCAAAATATGTTTTGGTGTAGTGTACTTGTGTACCATATGTTTCAATGAAATCAGACCGAAGAGAAGATTCGAAAGAATTTCACAGACACATGTATTTCTGTTTATAGTCACCATGGCAATACCGTTCATTGAAATAAAAAACCAATATAGCGATTTATGTTCTTTGGTGTAGTCTTACTTTGTACGAAACTTTATTTGTACTCGTAATTGGATTTGAACTGTAAAACAAGAGGCCCATGGGCCACAACGCTCACCCGAGTAACTTTGGCCCTGCTGTTGTTTACCAGTTTTTCTCCTTGTAATACGTATTGTGGTCCCACCCTATGCCCGGGGGTCATGATTTGAATAATTTAGAATTTACACTACCCCAGAATGTTTCCACGTAAGTTTCAGCTTTTCTGGCCCAGTGGTTCTTGAGAAGAAGATTTTTAAAGATTTTTCCAATATATTTCAATGTAAAACTTTGATTCCCCATTGTGGCCCAACCTTACCCCTGGGGGTCATGATTTGAATAATTTAAAATCTTCACTACCCAAGAATGCTTTCATATAAGTTTCAGCTTTTCTGGCTCAGTGGTTCTTGAGAAGAAGATTTTTAAAGATTTTCCCTTTATATTTCAGTGTAAAACTTTGATTCCCCATTGTGGCCCAACCCTATCCCTGGGAGTCATGATTTGAACAATTTAGAATCTACACTACCCTAGAATGCTTCCAAGTAAGTTTCAGCTTTTTTTTTCACATTTTTAAAATCGTTTCTACTGCCTGCAATTTGAGCAATTAAGTATGGAGTGTTTCGAAATTGGTGTGTCTCAATTTTGCTCTTATTTACTTTTAATGAATCATAAAAATTATTTGTCTATGCATGTCAGAAGCATTTTCATAGACATAAATCTTTTAGAAAACAAAATGAATTTGATTAATATGAAAATGCTGATAACTTGATTATATAAATATATATCGATAATAATCGTAGAAAAAAATGCAAAATTTCTTATTTAATTGACAAACTGGTTATTTATTTATCTATTTTTGATATGAATAGGTATACTTATTAAAATCTTTGAAATAGAGTCCATATTTTACTGTCTTACAAGTCTTGCTTCATGCACATTCCATACTTGCGCAAATGTTTCATTTGAAATCTCTCCTTTTTTCCAATTGTATAGAAGAAAATAAATTAATCAACAATTCTACATCGTGTACACAGGCCTTGATTATTTATAAAGGCCCGATGTGAGATAAGTCTGGATGTCAATAAATAGCCTACGGGTCAAGATACCATTGCATTCGCAAATGAAAATTAAATATTTGTATTGAAGGAATAATGAAGTTGAGAGGCAGGTAAGTTATATCGATGTCCTTTTCAATGTATTATATCCAATGTGTTGTTTAATATGCAGCATTCTATCGTTTTCCTGATCTATAAAAACACTCCTTATATACATTCTTTATATACACAGTAGTAGTACTGGTAAATGAATGGTCTTCGTACTAGTTCCTTACTCTCGGACTGATTCTTAGCTCCCTCTTTCTGTAAAACAAACAAACAAACAAACAAACAAAAGAGAAGAGGATTATATTTTTACATTGTCCCTGTTGCTCATTTTGTTTTTAAAAATTGTGTTTCTGACGATTTCAGAATTACAAATGTTTGTTTCTCAGATTGGCAGGTTATTATACGCTTAAAGTTTGATTACCAATGATAATGTTAATTTACTTACTACTGTTTGTTCCTGTATCACTGGAATGTCTTAATGAGGTAAAACATCTTTAAGAAATGTAGCACAGTTTAAAGTAAATTCCACGGGCATTTGTAGACATGTAAAATGAAACCAAGTTTAAAGTGCTTCTCCCATATTAACCCCCCCCCCCCCCCCGCACTATTCCCTGTGACGGTACATTTTGTCGCCATGTACATAATGTCATTCGCGACAATATGTGCACATATTGACTTCAGAACATATTGGGACCGGCGACAACATGTGCCCAAACAAGCCTTTTTTTCTCTGCAGAATTTACTACAACATGTACCTTTAAGTTATAAATTTCAATTTGTACAGATGCATGCTCCGACTGACTGAGCACCACCCATTTATTACTACCACGACTACTTACTTAAAAAATCAATCCACCTCAACCGTTGCTGAAATCCAGGGTTTTCAAAATGAAGAGTTACTATCAGAAACCAATTCAAGACCATTCGAAGAAATCCCAGGTCCATCTGGTATATACCAACTGCCATATTTGGGACTGATTTTGCAAATGAGACCATTTAGTAAGTCTTACAGTGAATAAATGACTTTATTGTGTATTGCTCGAAAACGGAGATAGGGACAAGTAGTTCTATTTTTTCCCCGCGTCTTTATATGAAGAATCGCATATTTATTAAACGGGATCATATCACGGAATTCATACAGGTTAAGTTTTCTTGTCAGGTCAATTCAGCTACAAAGTTTACGTATCATAGCTACATATGTGTCATGTTCTAAATTTTGAATTTACCGGGTGGGAGTAAATACAAAATTTAGAACATGGATATGACTTTTATCCAACTCGTTGTGTGTTTTTATCCCCTCGCCAAGGCTCGGGGATAAAAAACACACACCTCGTTGGATAAAAAATCATATCCATGTTCTAAATTTTGTATTTACTCCCACCCGGTAAATTCAAAATTTAGAACATGACATATGAATCTTATGTTTTACAATTTTTAAATCTAGAATGATTGACGTTCCATTCGAGCATTTTCGCTCATATAGAGACGTCACCATATACCATAGAAAATCTTCATATTTAGACCTTTACTAGGAATTCAGGGTCATTGTGAAGTGAGTGGTCTTTGTCGTGCCAACGCCTATCGTGATACGGAGCCTCGGTATTTGAGGTCTCATCCAAAAGACCTGCAACTTTCACTTCAGAGTGCCAAGGCTTGGCGAAGGAACAGTTACTACCCTTTTTATCCAATTATATTATGATTTAGAATTACGTATTTTAAGTATACGCAACTTGTGTTATGTAAAGTGAAATTTGTTTTAATACAAGAGAAAAAAAACCCACTCTTTTAATTTTCATTACTTCATCAGTTAGTCTACACCATACAGTTCAAAGAATTTATTTCAAATGTTTTCCAACCCCAACCCACCTTCTTCATTTAAACTGCAAGACATAAAGATCGACATTCACGTGTAGTCACGAGAGATTTTTTTTATTTTTTTTTCTCTTTGTCGATAGTATATATTATTTACTGGTATAGAGGACTGGTGTCGCACATCTCAAATGTCTGTATTCTTTCAGCAAATTACGCCAAAGACAACATGCAGCAAAGAGTTTTAAGCTGGACAAAAACATATGGACCAATTTGTAAACAGAAGCTAGGAAATGATTGGTATGTTTTTCTTGCTGATCCTCGGGACGTTGAAAAGGTGTTCCGAAATGATAGACAGTACCCATATCGTGGAATATTGCCATTAACCAAGGTGTACACGAAAAGAACTCGAACAAAACCTGGACTAACAGCATTGTAAGAAATAAAATGTTCATCCCAATCATTACATGTTCTTAACCTCAGTTAGTACTCCTGTGCCCTTAATTTATTATCAAATCTTAAAATACAAAAATGTTTGCTTAAATTCTGATCGAATAAAGCATAGAACACAAGTGATAATTTTTCATATCTTCATACTTTATTTTTTTAATTTCGATAAATAGTATTGCTATTTTCATCAAGAATCTGATTATTACTGTAAATTATTTCATAATGATACTCTCGTTTTACTTTCTTCTAGTTTGTCAGTGTGTGTATATGTTCTGTTCTTTGTTTCTTCTTTTTTTTGTTTTTTAGTGAACTAATAGTTTTTGAAAAAATATTCTGTTTCTTAGAAATGACGAAGAGTGGTTTGCTCTGAGGAAAACAGCACAAAGAGCTATTTTGCGACGGAAGTCGGTCAATAAATACCTGCCAGCTATTAGTGCAATCGCCGATGATTTTGTCAATAAATTCCGTCGCAAAGATCGCATTGATGATGTAATACAGCATTTAATGGAATTCTCAACAGAAGGTAAACTTATTCGACAGAATTTTGGACTTGACATTCAACTTTTTTTCTGCATGATTTCAACGTTTTTCTCTTGATATGACTAACTCAGTGCCACCTTGAACTGAATCTCTTGACCCTTGTGACCTTGAACTGAATCTCTTGACCCTTGTGACATGAATTTAATAATTAACTAAGGAATCTTTGTCAACTACCATATTTGTGAAGCTTGTCCCTAGATGACTAAAATTCTAAGTAAACTTTTACTTTTAAAAATTTACTTTTTTAAATGCCTTTTTCTTATATCGATTATGTCTAGACAGAGATCATAAATATCACATTTTTTACTCCCTTTTAACACTGTAATCGGCTGAAATTGGTCGTAATTTCAGGGAAGCTGAAAATGTTCATATGTTAATAACCGATGTACGATTGACTACAGACGAAAATGGAATAGGTCAACTAAGTGACTTGGAATACCTAATAATTCAATAAATAAAAAAAAAATCCGTCAAATAATATAAAAACCTCAAAAAACAACGAAAGCAGGTCTTGGATTTTGAGTCGCTTTAATTACACACTTTCTTTATTGGATTCTGTTAAAGTATAATTTTCAGCCGATTTGCAATTATTATAGGAGCTGGTAAAATGTGTTTTGGGGTACGTCTTGGATGTATTTCATCTCCAGATCAAACGATCAAAACAGAAACGATGCAGCATGTAGAAACATTTCTGGACTGTTTTGGGAACCAGTTTTACATAATGCCATGGTACAAACTTTTCCAAACGCCATTTTATCGGAAGTATGCAAAATCGGCAAACTATCTTAGAAGGTAAAACGAGATTATAATACAAAGTAAGTACTGATATTAAGAATTTAATTCTGAGATTACACTACTTCAGACACTAAATTTTTTATGGATATTCTGGTTTCATTATGAATTTAATTCTTTTTCTGATTAGACAGACGCAGAAATATATTGCAAAACACAAAGAGCGTATTCAGTCTCATAATGCAGAAGTAATTGATCCAAGTCTTCTTGGCGACATGCTATCTGACCCACACATGACGACTGCAGATATCACCAAAACGTTGATGGATGTTTTTATTGGTGGTATTGATTCGGCAAGCAGTCGTTTAAATGTTAAATAGTAACTTTTATGTGATTATAACCAACTGCAAAAATTTGACCAACTCTATAGCTAGCTGTTTGGAATTTCAACAATAAAAAATACATCTAGTAATCTTATTAATATATTACATCAAATTTGCCGACTACAGCTAGACTGACAAAAATTTTCCTCAAAATATATTTTCAGACTGCAGCAAACATGACAACGTTGCTTTACAATCTGGCGAAGAACCCAGAGAAACAAGACAAACTGTTTGAAGAGTTGGAGACATATGTCTCAAAATCCGGTCCTATCGATGAAACGGTTTTTCGCCACCTAAATTACCTTAAAGCATGTCTTAAAGAGTCGTTTCGGTAAACATACTTCAAAGATGCGTAGTATCCCAGATATGTATGGTTTAAATTATACATCATAAATTTCAACCAAATATAGTTACTCGTTTAGATCGAGTTCTGAGTTCGAGATATATAATATTGGGATCATTTTTGAAATTACTCACTTTGAAATGAATAAAGGACACGTCACTGACACATAACAATATTAATGAATGTTCAGGGATAAAAATTGAAGATTGGGTTGATCCGTTTGTATTTTTCTGCATTGATGGAAGTTGTGGTCTTTTACCACGGTTATTTCTGCAACATTTCTATTTCTATTTATTCAAATATCGATCCTTCTTGCTTAATTTTCGTCATTAACATTATATATTAAATAATTTCTACACAATGAACTCTATTTCTGTTTTAGAACCCATGTAGTATAATGAATTCCATTAACACAACAAGCAAATTTAGAGAATTGTAGCCCCCCGCTTTCGGGATCTTATTTGTTGTCGGTGTAATGATCAATGACATTGGCATACTGAAAATGCCTTGTCTGTCTATCATACTGAAAAAAAGTTTCATATTTTTAAAATACGTATCTAAGTTTTGTGAATTCAAACTTCGAGGTCTAGGTCATGAAGTCAAAAATCGAAGTTCATTCGGAAAGGTCTGGTTATTTGAAAGCCCTGTTTCTTCAGAAGGAAAGAAACGTCCAAAAGTTTTGAAAAGTAGGTCGAATTTCATGGTCAAAAAACAAAGTACATTACTGTATGTAAAGTCTTGTCACAAATGACGGTACATGCATTCGGAAAAGTCTTGTTACAGATAATGCATCGGTTAAATTTCAAAGCTGAAGCCAAAGTTCTTGTGATTAAGTGTCCCGGGCTTTCGCAAAATTAGGGGCGATTAACGATTTCCTTATACAATAGTATTAATTTTGTTAATAATTTAATTCAATTTCACGTTCAATTTCAAGTTTAAAAAATAACAATACCTCATTATAGACTGGTATTTCCTGTTCCGGTTGGTACTGCAAGAAGCTTGGATAAGGACATTACAATAAAAGGCTTCCGAATACCTGCATTTGTACGTTTTTCCTTCTTTTCCCTGACTTTCACTTCTTTTTTAATCTAATAAAGCAGCATATCGACATTTGTTTGACAGGATGTTAAGGGTATAAATTCTATTCAACTTATAGACATAATTTGTCGTATTCTTATTTGTTTGTTGTTTAACGTCCCTCTCGAGAATTTTTCACTCATATGGATACGCCACCATTTGCCGATGGAGAGCTGCCAATTTTGACCTATTCTTGGCACTTAGGGCCATTGAGCAGTGAGAGATCTTTTTCGTGCCAGCACCTACTGCAACACGGGACCTCGGTTTATACGGTCTCATCCGAAGGACCGGTCTCCACGTCCCGCAGTGGGATTCGAACCCGCGACGTAAGGATCAACTCCTTACTCCGCGACTCTATTACAATTACTTATTTTCATTTACCATGTTTACGCAGTATAAAATTTTACACCATATTCCCTTTTCTTTCAGACTAACATAGTGTTTTGCTCTGGAATCACTTGTCAGGATAGTAAATACTTTGAAAAGCCTGAAGCATTCATTCCCGAAAGATGGTTACGCGTTAGTGACAAATATTCTCCAACACATTCATTTGCACATATTCCATTTGGTTACGGACCACGGAAGTGTATTGGACAAACTTTTGCCGAGACAGAGATTTATATCTGCACTGCAAAGGTAATTATCTCTTTACGCTAAATAAGCTGTGTATCCTAAGCTAAGCAGAAAAAAAACGTTTAAAATATACCTATTTGTAATTAAAAGAGGATTGTTAAATATGAGAGAAAAAAATTCATAACAGAATAGTCTGTCCAACGAAACCAACTTCATCAACTTTAAAATTATAATTTTGAAATACATAAATACCTTGGCCTATTAACTAGGTTTGATCAATAGAACATCCCAAACCTTCTTCTTCGAAACGACCCCTTGTGTGAAGTTAATTCAAAGTCTACGGGTTTCTAAAGTGGACTGCACTTCCGAAGTGAATTAATCCATTGTTATTCTTGATTTCCCTTTGTTTGCCATCAGTAATGTTATGACGGAGCATATGTTCGAAGTAAATTTCGGTAGTCTCCTGGAAAATGACAACCCAATGAGTAAAATAAAATTGTAAATGACTTGTTTCAAGTTGCACGTATTAAATCGGAGAAAAAATGGTTTGGAAACAAGCTGCTGTACTTAAAAAGGTCTGCAATACGTGGACCAAAATCTTGTGTTTCTAACAGAAATCTTTTAGGTAATGCAAGTACATGTATGTGTTATAAAAAAAGATGTCTTTTATTTTGAAACGTGAAATTTTTGCACGATAATTTAACGTTTTAGTCTAATTATTAAAACTGTAATAATGATATCAATATTTGATAAAACCATCCATTGTTTATTGTATATAGCCTTCACCTTTAAATAGGGTCATCCATGCATCACATGTGAAATGTTTTGCTCAAGCGCAGACTTTGAAATAATGTCTAGTTTTAAGTACAATATACCGGTAGTATTATTCACCTTGACAGGGAAGACATCTCTGTTGAAGGTTGCATATGATGCCAGGCTTGTAGGGCCTGGGGTGCAACCTCACCTTCCCTATAATTTTGCCAGTATAAACTTAAATATAGGAAAGGTTAATTTAAAGTTGTGTCCCCTCAATAATTATTTGCCAGTATAAATCCCTATTTTATTCCTTGTAAAGAGATTCCTTCAAGGTAACCCTCCCCCTCCAACTGAAATTGCTTCCTACGAGCCTTGATGCACAAAAGTGATGCCCAGGAGATTGTCCTATCTTTTAAAAGCCTGATCGTTGAATTACATGTAATTAAGTCTCTAATTCAAGCTGTAATGTCATCTGATTTCTTTCTTCTTTTTAAAATGCTTGTACAGTTGTACAAAAGAAACTGTTTTTAACTGTAAATATTATTTTGACTATCCATATACATAAATATAGAAGATTTTTTAATTTACAGATAAGAATATATAAGAGTAGATTCAGGTCTTGTCTTGGATACGCTAATAAATTAATGAATACAATGTACACATTTCAAGAAAGTTTTGCCTATGATTTTTATTCGAGTAATACGAATTGTTCCCAAGGGCGTTATCTTTGGGGGTGAACTGACTTGCATTCTTGTGCATACATGTACGCAACTGACTATTCCTCAAAGCATCCGGAGAATGTATCCAGTCCAGTAGAGAATGTATGTGATTACAAAAATATATTCCTTTGATTTTGGACAAATTTCCGAGATTTCTATCTCAGTAAAACATGCTTTTTATTTTCTTTTTTAGCTGTTGCGTAATTTCCGCCTGACATTACCCCAGGAAACCAGTAAAATTATCTATAAGGATAAAACATTTCGAACACCCGTCACTCCAGTATCTTTCATCGTTAAAAGTAGATAACCAAGAATTGAAGACGATTAAAAAAATTGTACATTTTCATAAGCTGAACTTTAAAATGTTCATTTTGACAATTAGTAGAATTATAGATATACATTAATAAAATGTGAAATAATCGTAAAACATATGTCAGCATTAGTTTATATATATATCACAACAATTATATATTTTTAGCGATTTCAACTTTTTTAAAGGAAGAATAATAATTGTCAATGTTATTCTTGTTTTTAGACCCCTACCGGTGAAACCGGAGGGGACTATTGGTTTCCTCTTAGTCTGTCCGTCCGTCTGTCTGTCCCTCTGCCTGTCAGTCTGTCCCACTTGGTTTTCCGCATTTTTTTTCTAAACGCTTGCAGATATTTTGGAATATGAGTGTATCTTGATGAGTTACGATCAAGTTTGCATTTTTTTCCGCTTCAATTATTTTTTACGGAAATTAGACCTTTTCAATTTTTTAAGGTTTTCCGCATTTGTTTTCTAAAAGCTTGCAGATATTGAGCTGATTTTTGGTATTTGACTTTACCTTGATGAGTTATAGATCAAGTTTGCATTTCGTTCCGCTTCATTGATTTTTGACGGAATTATGGCATTTTCAATTTTTAATGGGAACCAGATTACACTTGCCGGTAGGGGACTAGTATTGCTAATGCAATACTCTCAGAATGCTTGTTTCAAATGAGTTTTGTCGAGAAATTGCCATGATAGCATGATCAGTAGACGAAAAACTCACTCCACTTCAGTGAGGGTTATGCCAAATTACCGCTTACAGGAACGGTTCGATTCCGGAACAGCGGACACTGAATTTCTACGAAAGCTTCGGGAACTAGTGTTGTCATGTTTCAGAGGACCGACTTGTTTTTTTCTTTTTAATGTAAAAATTACACTAGGAAAACATTCTTATGCCGTTTGTAACAGCAGACCTCATGTAAAGTAACTTTGTCAGCTAATGACAAAAGTAAATCTACTTCAATACCTGCTTCTGCAGGCCCTGCAGCTGCGGCTGCATCAAAACTGTAGCTACGGATCCATCAAATGGAAGACAAAACAGATCCCCCTCAAAAAACACCCGAAAACAGTCGAGTGATAGGCTACCCAAAGGGGCACGAGATGCCGTCTCCCTTCACAAATAAGTTTGAAGTCTTCGAGGAGATGGACATTACACCCGTCACCCTGTCACTCTTCCGCGCAAGTCGAAGTATATCGAAGGAAAAATAAAAGGAGGATATCCTCCATTTCTCTTAATACATAAAAATGAATCATCCTACGTTAACACAATGGAATTGTCGAGGTTTTAAAATCAATTTTGACAATTTGTCTTTACTTATTCAATACCACTGCCCGGTAGCCATATGTTTACAAGAAACACATTTAACACAAGAGACACATTGTCCCTGCTGACAAAGCAGGTAACAACATTGTCTTTGTTTGTAAGGCTCATTATATAAATTGTATTTTAGAGGAACTATGATTTAATTCTACAAGTGGTAATCCAACTTATACTTATAGCTCCCTTTCTAAGGAGGAAATTCTTCAAAATCATATGTCAGTTTTGAATATTTTTAATATTCCCAACAACCAAAATGAATTGAATTACCATATCTCTATTGGATTCCGAAACTTCATAAAAATCGCTACAAACAAAGATACACAGCGGGTTCCAGTAAATGTTCTACCAAGCCTCTTTTTTTTACTCCTCACTAAGATATTAACAGTTGTGAAGGAGAAACTACAAGAGTACCGTGCAACAATATGTACTGTACAACAATTCGACAAGTGGTGTAAATCAGATGTGGATACTAAAACATTCCAAGGAACTTATGGAACATTTGAAATCACAAACTTTTACCAAAATCAACAACATAAAAAACTTAGACTTTTCAACTTTATATACAACGATTCCGCACGATAAATTAAAGTCCAGACTTTCTGAAATCGTTGACAGCTGCTTTTTCAATAAGAATGGAACTCGTAAATTTACTTACCTTTTCATTGGTCATTTGCAAAATCATTTTGTTAAAAAACAATCTGATTGTACACACAAGAACTCTGAAGTTGACATTAAAAAGATGCTCGAGTTTTTGATTGACAATATCTATGTGGTGTTAGGAGACCAGGTCTTCCAACAATCTATTGGAATTCCCATGGGTATCAATTGTGCCCCGTTATTAGCAGACCTATTTTTGTATTCATATGAAGCAGAATTTGTTAAAAATCTTTTACGTGAAAGAGGAAAACACTTTCTGTGGCCTTCAACTCGACATTTAGATATATCGACGACGTACTGTCAATTAACAATGGCTATTTTCATTCTTATGTCGACACGATATATCCCAGTGAGCTTGAGATAAAAGATACCACAAAGTCTGACACATCTGTTTCATATTTGGATATTTTATTAGAATAAGACGCTAATGGTAATCTAACAACAAAGCTTTATGATAAACGTGATGACTAACTTTTCAATCGACAACTTCTCTTACTTATGCAGCGATATACCCTTATCACCTGCATACGGGGTTTATATCTCTCAGTTGATTCGATACGCCAGAGCATGCTCTACGTATGAACAATTTCTAAAACGAGGTAAGTTATTGACAAACAAGTTGATGAAACAAGAATATCAGCAGTCTCGTTTAAAGTCATCATTTCGTAAGTTCTATGGTCGATACAATGTCCTTGTCAGCAAATACAATCTATCATTAAGTCAAATGCTGACTGACGTTTTTCATACTAATTGTTAGGCTATCATTTACACACTGAATTGTCGACGTATTTTTTCCGTTATTTCCCGATTATGACAAGGAGCACAAGGCCGGTGTGACCGGTCGGCAGGGGATGCTCACTCCTCCATGACACCTGATCCCACCTCTGATGTCTTAGAAGTCCGTGTTTGCTCTGCTCTTATTATGTAATGTTTAATGGACTTTTGAGCTCGAATACTGTTCGTTATTTCCACATATTTCATTTAAAATAAAAAGATTAAAAAATTTTTAAAAACTTAGTATGTATAACTATTATGCTCAGACTGAGAGAGCATCTTGCGGTACTTCAATAGCAATTAACAATAAATCCATTGTCACATCATAATCTTTGTAATCTTATTAATGACGGCTCTAGTAATTACCTCCATCCGGACAATGGTTCGTATTCCTCAAAAGATATAATTTTAGTAGATCCTTTTTAACTTTTGCCAATTTGGATCTTAGTTGGTCAGTACACGACGATTTACGCGGGAGTGATCATTTCCCAATTATCATTAAAATAAATAATCCCTCACAAAATAGTTCTATTCAAAACTTTACAGAAAAAACTTATGAAGAAATACAAAGCCAAGAAATTTTCAAGAATTATACTGCCTGATAGGTTTAGGTCAGTTTACTGTTTAAGGTTGTTGCTAAAGACGGTAAGCTTTTTGAAAAAGCTCTACTTGTATAGAATATTTGGTGACACTTGTTCACGTGATAGACCGTGACGTTTAATTTAAACCGAGGATTTAACCGTGTAGGACATTAAATAGTCAAATACTATTGTCCGCTATTGGTTGTTTTAAGGACTCAACAGTCTATGACTGAGTAGTCCTCTTCATTAATTATTTTACCTAGGATTATTTTATTTTTGCAATTTTACTCCATTTTATTCCATTTTTATTTTAGTGCTACGTAACTAAAGTTATACATTTGCTATCTTTCTCTTTTATGATGACTAAAGTTGATTAATTCAACGAAAGTCAATTATTTATTTTATTTCATACAGTAATTTAATTTTTCTAGATACGTAAATTTTTCTTCAATTATTTTAATAGAAATTTTATTAAAGTACTTGGGAATTTTTAAATGTTGCTTCACGACAAACTTACTTAAGATTATTAGAGTTATCTTTCTTTGCCCTTAGTGTTTACGTGATGCTTGTTAGGTTTAACAAGTCAAAGTTGTAGATAACAACGGCTTGTGTCCTTCATTAATAAAGTATTTTAGGAGTTTAACAAGCTAACCTGTTAAAAGCCTGGTGCTAAGTTTAACAAGTCAAAGTTCTAAATAACTACGACTTGTTGTCATAGATATTAAATAACTGGGAATAGATATTAAGATTTTTTGAGTGGTTTTTCAGTCTGTTTTGTATGATTTTTTTTTAAATTCATTTAATTTAAATTAAACTTATTTATTATAATTAGCTTGGTATGAATGTGTTGTGAAAGTCGTCGTTTAAATAAATTGTTTGTTGATAATACACTTAATAAATTTAATTGTTCAATGTTTATAATCTTATGTCTTCTTTGCGAATGGTACATTCATAAAAGGAGTTGAATTATTTTTTTCCATGAAAACAATTTCTAGCAGAACCGCTAGCGTTACATTTCTGGCATCCACGGCGGGATACCTTTCATTTTTATAGGTATCCAGTGATACGAACCTTTTTTGTATTTTTGCTAGTTTTTGGTAAAAATAAAGGTGATGTATAATATTTTTGTTTTTGTAGGCAGTGCTCAATAATTAACATGGGAAAGAAAAACAGAAAGGGTCTGGTTGTTGTAGAAACAGATGATATGTCAGACGGTGCGAGTGTGAGACAGAAAAGTGATAGGCATCGTGTAGACAAAATAAATTCTGAAAACAGTTTAAAAACTGGAAATGATAGTCATTTGGGACATGAAAGTGTTCAACACGGTAAAAATACTGTAGAAGACACTATGCATACATCATGCACAAATTCTACATCTAATGTATAATGCCCAATTCATTACAAATGAATCCTATAAACACAGAAATTGTGTCTCAATTATTTATTACAAATGAACAAAAACATATAACATCAGATAGGTGTAATGAACCAATGTTCATCCTAGACATGGGAGATAACCCTCGCCAATTCTCACTACCAATTCATGATTTGACAAGATGATTCATCTGCAGATAATTTGCATGAGTCAGTTCATCCTAATAATGGACGCCCATATTCCTGTCCTCCAGTTTCTAGGTCAGATCCTACAAATACCATGAGTCATTCAT